CCTCTATTGGAAATGGGAAGTGGTATTTACTACATGGCCAGAAAGTGTAGATGTATTTCACTGAGAGAGTCTAACAATTGTGTTCAGAGGGGAAAACAATTTTTTGAAATACCAAAAATCCTAAACTTTAAATTTCCTTTGAAGTGTTATTCTGTGGCTCCACTGTTCAGTGTTCAATGGTAGTTCCATCATACACTGTCAGTAGTACGGCAGTGTGGCTTTGTCAATTTATAAGCTACAGAAAAGCCCTATGATACTTAATGATGGAATTTTAGTTTAAAAATAAGCAAATTGCTGAAAATAAAGATGAGGAATATATAGCTTAACTATACCCTTAAATTAAATGACTGAGGGAACATATTTCTGAAGATAGTAGAATTTCTTTTTATCCTTATCTTTTTAAAAATAATTTATTTTTATTTTTCAATTACAGTTGGCATCCAGTATTATATTTGTTTCAAGTATACAACCCAGTGATTAGACATTTATTTAGCTTAGAAATTGATCACCCTGATAAGTCTATTACCTATCTGGCCCCATATATAGTTATTAGAATATTATTGACTATATTCTTTATGCTGTACTTTACATTCAATGAGTATTCTGTAATTACCAATTTGTACTTCTTAATCCCTTCACTTTTTTGAAGATAGCAGAATTCTTTATAAATGTTACTGCTATGACAGAACTTGGCTGTGGTGGAAGCTGCCATACCAAGCCTTTTTATTGGAGGCTTCAGGAGGTAATGACTCAACTGAAATACCTCAGTTGTCTTAAAACAAGCCATAGCAGCCCTGGCCGATTTTGCTAAGCGGTTAGAGCATCAGCCCTCAGACCAATGAGTTGCAGGTTCGATTCCAATCAAGGGCATGTACCTCGGGGGCAGTTTGTCCCCAGCCCTTGTTGGGTCGTGCGGGAGGCAACCAGTTAGTGTGTTTCTTTCACATCAATATTTCTCTCTCTCCCTCCCTCCCACTCTATATGATGATAAATAGAAAAATAACCTCAGATGAGGATTGAAAAAAAACCAAAACAAAACAATAAACAAGCCGTATCATTGAGTCTATTATTATAATTTATATCACATGAATCCCTTTTATAATTTAACTAGAGTGAGGCTCCTTATGAGCTGGGGCCTCATCTGATTCATCCCTGAATTATCAACACCTAGCACAGTAGCTAACTTATAGTGGAACCTCAGGGAATGCGTACTGAATTGAATGGTAGTCACCAAAAGGCTGCTTCTGTAATTGTTACATGTAAATGTCTTAGTTTCCTTCTTCAAGGCCATGGAGACATTTTCACTACCCACTGCTAAATTCCTTCTCAAAAAGGCTGCCAAGACAGACATGAGGATAACCCTAGGTGTCTACCTGCCATAGGCATTTCTGGCAGTGTGTAGAAAATATCCAGTATGCTTACTGGTTGGTGGCCAGGAGATCTTCTATTCCTAGGTAGGAACACATCCCTTGTCCCATTAGGGAGAGTGTCAGGTATGAGGCCAAACTAGCATAAAATAGTATTTTCCCCTCTTTAAAATGAGGCCAATGCCACCCTGGCCAGTTTGGCTCAGCAGTTAGAGTGTCGGCCCATGGACCAGAGTCGTGGGTTCAATTCCAGCCAAAGGCATGTGCCTTAGTTACGGTTCATCCCCAGCCCTGGTCGTGGTCATGCGGGAGGCAGCCATTCGATGTCTCTCTCTCACATCGGTATTTCTCTCTCTCTCTCTCCTCCCCTCCCCTTCCACTCTATCTAAAGATAAATGGAACAAATATCCTCGGGTGAGGACTTAAAATAAATAAATAAAATAAAATAAATAAATAAATGAAATGAGGCCAATGCCCTAGCAAGGGCTATTGAACAAAGTAGGAAGTCACCCAGGATGTCAGACTGTTGGTCTTTAAGATATTCTTTCTACTTTATCTTAGAAGTGGCCTCTGCCTCTTTGACATAGCCAAATAGGGCCTTATGTAAACAGGTGACTTATCAGAATAGTTGTGGCTGCCACATTTTAGTTGGCCTTGATGCATTCACATGTACTACTTTGCTCTTGCAATTTCTCACAAGGAAAAAAAAAAGTGGCAGCACTGTTGAGTGCCCACAATGTTCTGTCTCATCAGCAACTCTCAAAATCAGAGTTTGAAAAACCATTTAGCCTTTCAGATATTGGATATAAAAAGAAATGTTCATCATTAGGTGGTTCAACATGTTCACTAGTTCAATGAGGGTAAGAATAAATGAATGAATGATTGAATGAATGAAAGTGATTATGAAAATGATCCTTGTTGTTCTAGCACATCAGCATGACAAGCTACAGTACAGACACTAGAATTCTTCCACCCATGGCAAACAAATTTCATGCTGAACCCCTGGCAACATTCTGTGCTTGCTATGTAGAGGGCTGTAGTCCCAGAACTGCATGGTTTCAATAGAAGTTAAGAATGTTTTAGTCTTTATCTGTGACTGCTTTGTAGCATCTCTCCATTTAACAGCCATTTAATTTATAGAAAAGTCATGCCTGGCCGGTATGGCTCAATGGTTGAGCATTGCCCCATGGACTGAGAGGTAGGTCCTGGTTTGATTCCCAGTCAGGGCATGTGCCCAGGTTTCGGGCTCGATCCCCAGTAGTGGGGAAGGGGGAGACAGCAGATCAATGTATCTCTTTCACATCGATGTTTCTATCTCTCTCCCTAAAAAATTTAATAAAATCACATATTTTTAAAAAGTCACCTTCAGCCCTGGCCATTTCGCTCAGCGGTTAGAACATCAGCCTGCAGTCCAGAGAAAACCGGGTTCGGTTCCTGCTAAGGGCGCGTACCTTGGTTGCAGTTTGTCCCCAGCCCTGGTTGGGTCGTGGCGGGTGGCAACCACTCAATGTGTCCCTTTCAGGTCGATGTTTCTCTTTCTCTCTCTCCCTCCCACTCCATCTGAACAAAAAATGGAAAAATGTCCTCGGGTGAGGATAAAAAAAAGTTACCTTCAGCCAGTATCTAATTTTTTTTGTCTGTCAGTGGTTTCTATCACCTAAGAATCTAAGTTTTTTTACAGGGCCTAAAGGAAGAGGATAATATATTTGAAGGTTTTGATTTCTGAAGATTTTTATATCATCTTTAGAGCATGAAGCTGGATGTGAGCCATTATTTAGTACAAGCTCCATTACCCCACACATAAGAAAAATATTTAGGAGTACCCCAAAGTGTACTTCCAAATAATGAGAATAGAAAATCACCTCAGAGATTCTTCCCAGACAAATTCTCTATTATAACAAGACACCAAACCATTTCTTACTGTGACACTTTTTATTTGGCTTTATGCAAATTGCCACTTGAGCCATTCTGGGAGGAAGCTGTTATGTCAATCTGTTCATCTGATATTAAGATAATAATAAGAAAAGCAAGTGTCACTTTCCCATCCTAAAACTAAACATCAGGCTAGAAGAAGTTAGTCAGGGGTCTATTAGAATGATGGAAGAGTAGACTAAGGCAGTATTAGCTAGTTTAACATTATTGTATCCAGTTCTACCCATAAGGGATGCAGAAGCAGGGAATCAAAGCCAGTTCTGACCACTTAATTGTATACTGACTGGCCTTGTATACCAAGAATCAGTGTGGCTTATGCCACTGACAGTGTATTGCTTTTGACTGGGGCCAATACTGACCTGTATCAATCATGTTCCTCTTTTACATATCTAATCACTAAAAATATTCCCACTATAATTATTTTAGTTCCCCATGTCTGCATGATGACAACCACTGCATTCTATCGATTCAATAGGCAAAAAAAAAAAAAAAATCCAGACAAACCACTATTGTGGCTAAAGTGGTTGACAAATTTGATCAAACAGGTTAGAAGATATAGCTTAGACTATTACATGAAAATGTTGCCTTGGAGGGGCTACAAGATCTAATTGTTGTCAGTAAGATAGAAACTAGGTTTTGTTTGGCAAAATGAGATAGAATGACATATTAACATGTTGGTCAAAATTTGCCAAAAGTCCCCCCTAACCAGGTTAATCTACCCCCTTTACTTTAAAGGCTTCTATAGAAATGCTCAAAGAGCCCTGGCCGGTTTGGCTCAGCAGTTACAGTGTTGGCTCGTGGTCCAGAGAGATGCGGGTTCGGTTCTCGCTAAGGGTGCGTACCTCAGTTGCAGTTTGTCCCTGGCCCTGACTAGGTTGTGCAGGTGGCAACCACTCTATGTGTCCCTTTCACGTTGATGTTTCTCTCTCTCTCTCTCTCTCTCTCTCTCTCTCTCTCCTTCCCACTCTATCTGAACAAAATGGAAAGATGTCCTCAGGTGAGGATGACAAAAAAAAGAAATGTTCAAAGATATCAGACAATGCAGGGCTAAAGCGATTAGGCTGACAGAGGGTAATAATTTCTCATTCCTACAAAAAAAGTACAATTTAAGCAGCAATAATAAAAACACACTTATAAAGCAATCTTGAATTTTTAAAAGTGTGTTCAGGAGGGTAAGGATGTAGAAACCACATCCAGGGAATTTCCTTTGGTTCAATTATACTGCTGGACAGACAAGGCTAGACACAACTCAGAGATTAAGCAGCACTATAATTAAAGGAAGGGAAAAGTTATGAAAAAAGGCAAATGAGGACTATCAACTGAAAAAAAAAACTCTGCGAAGAACACACAGGGAAATTTCTAAGGTTAAAGCTGGAATGTTGGCGTGGAAATTCCTGGTGTAAAAATTCTAGGCTGAAGAAAAAAATCATTTTTCCATTTAAAATTCCATATAGAGCATACATGATACTCCATATGGGTTGCTAAAGGTTACATAGAACACTATTAAGGAATCTACTTACCATCTCTATTGGATAATGAAGTTTTTACTATACTTTTTATGCAGAAGAGGAAATTAATGAACCTGTAAGGAGGGGTTTAACATGCTGTAGCTAATGCAATTCTCTAAATAAGGTTTTTAGTTCACAGTTGATGTTGAAGTCCCTTCCAAAAACCAGGTTGTAATATAAACTTAGTTCTTACCCTGGTACTTCTTCTTCTTACATTCTTTAATACTATCAGGAGAATCTCAGGGAAAAGGCTGATAAATATTAGAAGAACTATGGCCAGCCACGTGGATACAGAAGACAGCATTTGAGCAAACACAAAATACATTCTCTGTTGTTTGAGAAAAGGCCTAGAGTGGAAAGAAAATGCATAATGGAAAAACAAATCAGTCCCTGTCATAAAAAAGAGAACTATAATTGAAACTGCCTTTTGTATTTAAAAAGAATTTTCCTTATTTACATTAATAAAAAGAATTTTCTTTAGAATGTTCCAAAAGTAGTAAACAGATTTCATTTATCAAATGTTTGAAAAGAAATGATCATCAAAAAGAAAAAAAAAGATAATAAATGCACTTGACTTTAGAACAGCCAAGCAATCAACTTTAAACCTGCTAACTAGAAAACCTTTATTTACATTAGAAAATATTGGAGCTGCAAAGATATGGAAGAAAAATGATAGGTAATTTTTATGCTAAATAGCATTTTATTTCCTCGGCTGTTTTATTAATAGGAGAGTGGATTTGTGCTCTATATTCAAAATTTAAAAGACATTTTTATACCCCCCCTCAAATCCCTATGTAAATACAAAAAGAACTGTAGAGCTTATCACTCTTAAATGGGAAGACACTACCCATTCGCATCAACAAATATATATTGAGTACTAGTGTATGTCAAATAGGTTGACAGACAGCAGAATATTGCTAAAAGGACATTAAGCCTTGGAGTCCAGATATCCAGGAGGACCCCTCATTCTGCTGTTGGATTTCATTTCAAGTCATCCATTGAACTGAAGGGTGGCTACTGAGAAGCACAACCAGATTTTCTTCTACTGCCTAGCTGAACCACAGAGCGGCTAATCAAGGTTGGAATTCACTCCAGACTATCCTCAGATTAGGAACCCTAGACAGATAAATGGTTGGTCCCATTTTTTAAGTCATATACAGTACTCACTGAAGATAAAATATTCTCATGTTAAAAAGGACATTTGTGCACTCATATGTAACATGATAAAATCAAGCTTGTTGCTCTACATATATAAAAACCAGACTGGGGAATAAAAAGTGACCAGAACAGTGAGGTGGAGAAACTTAAAAGGTTTGGGTTAAACAGACTTTCTAGAGTCACTACTATACATAAGTGATAGCTTAATCACTTAAAGGATTTATTTAAATCAATAAGAAATAGTCTATGGGGACTTCCGGTCAAGATGGCGGCGTAGGTAAACGCGGTATCGCATCCTCCCACAACCACATCAAAGTTGCAACTAAACTACAGAACAACCATCATTCAAAACCGCCTGAAATCAAGCTGAATGGAAGTCCTACAACTACAGAACTAAGAAAAAAAAAGCAGCTACATCCAGACCGGTTGGAAAACAGGCTTAGAGAGGTTGAATCACATGCATAGTTGGTATTGCTATAAACTGAATGTCTGTGTCCTCCTGAAATTCACATATTGAAAACTAACCTTCAATATGATGGTAGAAGGAGATCGGTTCTGTGGAAGGTGATTAAGTCATGAAGGTATTTGGTATTACAAAGAAGGTCTCATGAATTCTAAAAATGGCGGCGGAGAGAATGGAGCTACACAGACCGTCTCCCAGAACCACACTGGAATTACAACTATAACACAGACAAATCGACAGGAAAAATCAACAGAAAAGCAGCTTGCAAGGACCATATAACGAGGGACACTGACTCCATCCCGGTAGGCTTGCGAAGGCGCGAGACGGGGGCTGGGAGCCCACGGTCGGCAGCTCGGCAGAGGCCTTAGCTGTGAGCAGCGCCCTCGGGTTACAATCCAAGGCGGCTCCACAGCGCAGAGACGGGACAGAGGCTAAAACCTTGGGCTCCGGCAGAGGGAGGGCGGACTGGACTGGAACTGTGTGGGGACACTCGGGGTTTGGAGGGCACTCAGAGCTTTGGCTGAGTGCAGCCACTCAGGACGGTGGCCATATTGCTCCTTCCCAGGGCTCTGAGAGAGGCAGCAGCCCCTCCCTCGGAGATACAACCCCCCCTGTGGGCCACTGAAGTGCTAATTGAGGCTCACTAAAGAACAGCACCTGCCCCATCCTCCTGAAAGCCCCTTGGCTGGGCACCAGAGGGAGTTTTTCAATCAACTGACAACCCAAAACTCAACAAGTAACCTAGACTGCTAGCCTCCAGGCAAAAAGCTAGAGGATAACAGTACCTTTCCTGTGCTGGCAACTTTAACCAGGAAAGTAAGACTTGACAGTGGTGTTCAACGTGGGTACTCCCTCGCTCATCTAAACACAGGAGAGGGAGCCACAAACAGCAGAACACCAACACCCACAGGGAGAACTTGACAGGCTCCAAAGCCCACAGTGATAGCCAAAATGGTGAAACACAGAAACAGAAGCCAAATGAAAGAGCAAGAGACCTCCACCGAAGATGAGATCAATGTGGAGCAATTAGGCATGTTAACAGAGCTAGAATTCAGAGTCATGATCTTGAGGAAGCTGAACAGCATTAGTAAGGACATAGAGACACTGAAAATAAGCCAATTGGAAATTAAAAACCAACAAGAAGAGATAAAAAATGACATATCAGAAATGAAAAACACATTGGAAGGTTTAAAAAGCAGAGTAGAGGAAGCTGAGGACTGGATCAGTGAATTAGAAGACAGGGTAGAAAAAATCAACCAATCAGAAAAACAAAAGGAAAAAACTATTAAAAAACAGGAAGACAGCTTAAGAGAACTATGGGACAACTGGAAACGTAATAATATTCACATCATAGGAGTCCCCGATGAAGAAGAAAACGAGCAAGGGATAGAGAATATATTCAAAAAAATAGTGAGACAAAACTTCCTTAATTTGGTGAAGGAAGAAGGCATTCAAGTTCAAGAAGCACAGAGAGTCCCAAGTAAGAAGAACCCAAACAGGCCCACACCAAGACACATAGTAATTAAAATGCCACAAATTAAAGACAAAGAGTGAATCCTAAAAGCAGCAAGAGATAAGCAACAGGTTACCTACAAAGGGAACCCCATAAGGCTCTCAGCTGACTTCTCACAAGAAACACTACAGGCCAGAAGAGAATGGCATGAAGTAATCAAAGTCATGAAAAACAAGAATCTGAATCCAAGACTACTCTACCCAGCAAGGCTATCATTCAAAATAGAAGATCAAATAAAGAGCTTCCCAGACAAAAAAAGGCTAAGGGAATACATTAGCACCAAACCAGCACTGCAAGAAATGTTCAAGGGACTGCTGTAATTAGCAGTAGAAATGGGAAGAAAAATAGAACCACACTAAACAAAAATGGCAATAAATAAGTACATATCAATAATCACCTTAAACGTAAATGGATTGAATGCTCCCATAAAAAGACACAGAGTAGCTGATAGGATAAGAAAGCATGACTCATCTATATGTTGTTTACAAGAAACCCACCTCTCAACAAAAGACTCACATAGGTTGAAAGTGAAGGGATGGAAAAAAATTTTCCAAGAAAACGGAAAACAAAAAAAAGCTGGGGTAGCAATTCTCATATCTGATAAAAATAGATTTCAAAATGAAGACCATAAATAGAGACAAAGAAGGCCACTATATAATATTGAAAGGATCTATCCAACAGGAAGATATAACCTTGATAAACATATATGCACCCAATATAGGAGCACCAAAATATATTAAAAATCTTCTGGAGGACTTCCAAGGAGAAATCGAAATAATACAATCATAGCAGGGGACTTCAACACCCCGTTGACAGCACTGGATAGATCCTCTAGGCAAAAAATTAGCACCCAAAACTACAGAATACACATTCTTCTCAAGTGTACATGGGACATTCTCAAAGATAGACCACATGATAGACACAAACTAAATCTCTACAAGTTCAAGAAGATTGAAATCATATCAAGCATCTTCTCAGATCACAATGGCATGAAACTAGAAATCAATTGCAACAAGAACATGCAAAGACATTTCAACACATGGAGGCTAAAGAGCAGGTTATTAAACAATGAATGGGTCACCGAGGAGATCAAAAAAGAAATTAAAAACTTCCTGGAAACCAATGAAAATGAACACACAAAAACACAAAATCTATGGGATGCAGCGAAAGCAGTTCTGAGAGAGAAGTTCATAGCAATACAGGCCTACCACAAAAAACAAGAAAAATTTCTAATTGACTGTCTAACCTCACAACTTAAAGAATTAGAAAGCAAACAAAAAGAAAACCCCAGAGCAAATAGAAGGAAGGAAATAGTAAAGATCAGAGCAGAAATAAATGACATAGAGACCAAAAAAACAATTCAAAGGATCAATGAAACGAAGAGCTGGTTTTTCGAAAAGATAAACAAGATTGATGGACCCTTAGCTAGACTCACCAAGAAACAAAGAGAGAAAACCCAAATACACAAAATCAGAAATGAAAGAGGAGAAGTAACAACCAACACCACGGAATACAAAAGATCGTTAACAACTACTATGAACAATTATATGGGAACAAATTCGACAATCTAAGCGAAATGGACACATTTCTAGAAACACACAGTCTGCCAAAACTACTCCCGGAAGAGATAGAAAACTTGAACAGACCAATTACAACTAAGGAAATTGAAGAGGTAATCAAGACTCTCCCAGCAAACAAAAGCCCAGGCCCAGATGGCTTCACGGGGGAGTTTTACCGAACATTCAAAGAAGAACTAACACCCATTCTCCTCAAACTATTTCAAAAAATTCAAGAAGAAGGAAGACTTCTAAACACGTTCTATGAAGCCAGCATAATTCTAATTCCAAAACCAGAAAAAGACACTACAAAGAAAGAAAACTACAGGCCAATATCCTTGATGAACATAGACGCCAAAATCCTGAACAAAATATTAGCAAATCGGATCCAGAAATACATCAAAAAAATTATTCACCATGACCAAGTGGGATTCATTCCAGGGATGCAAGACTGGTACAATATTCACAAATCAATAAACGTGATACACCACATAAATAAAATAAGAATAAAAAACACATGATCATACCAATAGATGCTGAAAAAGCATTCGACAAAATCCAGCACCCATTTCTGATAAAAATGCTCAGCAATGTAGGAATAGAGGGATCATACCTCGACATAATAAAGGCCATATATGAAAAACCTACAGCCAACATCATACTCAATGGACAGAAACTAAAAACATTTCCATTAAGAACAGGAACAAGACAGGGATCTCCACTTTCGCCACTCTTATTTAACATTGTACTGGAAGTCTTGGCCACAGCAATCAGACATGAAGAAAAAATAAAAGAGATCCAAATCGGAAAGGAGGAAGTGAAACTGTCATTATTTGCAGATGACATGTTATTGTACACAGAAAACCCTAAAGACTCCATCAAAAATCTACTAGACTTAATAAATGAATTTGGCAAAGTAGCAGGATACAAAAGTAACGTCAAGAAATCGACGGCATTCTTGTACACCAATGATGAACTCACAGAAAGAGAAACTGAAAAAACAATCCCATTTACCATCGCGCCAAAAAAATTACGATACCTAGGAATAAACTTAACCGAAGAAGTAAAGGACCTATTTGCAGAAAACTGCAGGTCATTGAAAAAAGAAATAGAAGATATAAAAAAGTGGAAGCACATACCCTGTTCATGGATTGGAAGAATTAACATCATTAAAATGTCCATACTACCCAAAGCAATCTATAGATTCAATGCAATCCCCATCAAAATACCAACGACACATTTCATAGAACTAGAACAAATACTTCAAAAGTTCATATGGAACCAAAAAAGACCTCGAATAGCCACAGCAATCTTGAAAAAGAAGAACAAAGTAGGTGGGATCACAATACCAGATATCAGGTTATACTACAAAGCGACTGTAACCAAAACAGCCTGGTACTGGCACAAGAACAGGCATATAGACCAGTGGAACAGAACTGAAAACCCAGAAATGGACCCAAGGCAATACGCTCAATTAATATTTGACAAAGGTGGCAGGAGCATACAGTGGAGTAAAGACAGCCTCTTTAATAAATGGTGTTGGGAAAATTGGACAGCTACATGCAAAAAAATGAAACTAGACCATCAACTTATACCATACACAAAAATAGACTCAAAATGGATAAAAGACTTAAATGTGACCCATGAATCCATAAAAATTCTAGATGAAAATGTAGGCAACAAAATTTCGGAGATCATACGGAGCAGAATTTTCACTGATAAATCACCTAAGGCAACAGAAATAAAGGAGAAAATGAACACATGGGACTACATCAAACTAAAAAGCTTCTGCACAGCAAAGGAAACAATCATCAAAATGGAAAGGCAACCCACTGTATGGGAGAACATCATCGCCAATGATGTATCAGATAAGGGGTTAATTTCCAATATATATAGAGTGCTCATACAACTCCACAAAAGGAAGACAAAGAACCCAATTAAAAAATGGGCAGAGGAGCTGAATAGACACCTCTCCAAACAGGACATACAAATGGCCAAAAGACATATGAAGAAATGCTCAACATCACTAATCATCAGAGAGATGCAAATTAAAACAACAATGAGGTATCACCTCACACCTGTCAGAATGGCCGCCATCAACAAATCATCAAACAACAAGTGTTGGCGAGGGTGTGGAGAAAAGGGGACTCTAATACACTGCTGGTGGGAATGCAGACTGGTGCAGCTGCTATGGAAAACAATATGGTGCTACCTCAAAAAATTAAAAATTGAACTTCCATTTGACCCAGTGATCCCACTGCTGGGAATATACCCTAAGAAGCCTGAAACACCAATCAGGAAGAATATATGTACCCCCATGTTCATAGCAGGACTATTTACAATAGCTAAGATCTGGAAACAGCCCAAGTGTCCACCAGTAGACGAATGGATAAAAAAGCTGTGGTACATATACACAATGGAGTACTATGGAGCGGTAAGAAAGAAAGATCTCTTATCCTTTGAGACGACATGGAAGGACCTGGAAAGTATTATCCTAAGTGAAAGAAGCCAAGCAGAAAAAGACAAATACCACATGATCTCACTTATATACGGAATATAATGAACATAACAGTCTGAGGAATACAGTAGACCCAGACACATGGAAGTAGGGCACAGACTGACATCCCTCAGAAGAGGGGATGGGGGGGTGGGGGGTGGGAAGAGATAAACCACAGAACTTATATGCATGTATGCATGACCAATGGACATGGACAACTAAGCCGGGGACGGGACGGAGGTGGGGTGGGGTGGGGGGTGCCAATGGGGTAAAAAGTTAAAATATCTGTAACAAAAAAAATAAATAAAAATTCATCAAAAAAAAAAATAGTCTATGGTAAGAGTTAGAAAGTAGTTTAAGACATTTTATTTTTATGGAAATTTTGCATAATTAGTTCAGATGCTGATTACACAGATTCATCTGTGAATTTTGGTATCCGCAGGGGTCCTGAAATAAGTCCTTAGTGGATACCAAGGAACGACTGTAATTTTAAGTTTTCTTGCAAGTCAAAAGATTAGATTTTCAATTGTGTGTGTGTGGGGGGGCTAACTTTCGTGTTGTGGGTAAGGAAAAGAGATGAAAATCTAACTTATTTTCATTCTTTATAACTCTCCCAATCACAGCTAAGTGTTTCTCAGTGGACTCGAATCTCCTTAAAGCAGGGGTACAGTCTATGTCTTGTATCCCAAAGAGTACCTCACACAAAATGGATCCTGAATATACATGTATTAAACCAAAATTAACTAAATAAACTTTAAGGCCAAGTTTTAGTCTCTGTTTTTACCCTCCAAAACAATGAGATGGTTATTTTAAGACATAACTCTCTAAGTATTAAGTGGTATATATTCTATACCATCAGTACACCTGCAGTGACATGAATGACAGCTATATACCATAAAGAGAGAATAGGGCCCAAAGAGATAATAATGTATCTATCAGTCATTATATTGTATAGAATCTTTACAGGATGTGTATTTCCACTAGAAATCAGATGAGAGGTCATAGTAGAAATTACAGTTTCACTTCATAGAGAGATGTTTACACACTTTCAAGTTGAAAGATTTGCCCAGGGGCTACCAGAAAGGAACTCTTTTAAGTAATTTGTGAAGTCTATACACTTGTATTTGAAATCTCCCTGAAGTTAGCAGTGTTATTGGCTAGAAGTAAATTCCAGTCCATTAATATTGAAGACATGTCATCTTATATAATGAAAACTTTAAAAGTATAATTAATGTTTGCATATACAATGTATATATACATATACCTATTTTCTTATTTACATATTACACATATATAGATGCTTACCAAATAATTCCTCCCCAGAAGAATGAGAAAAATACATAAAAGGCTAAAGAACCCCAAATCACAAAGTGATTTATCCATGTCCAGAAACGAGTATCCAAGGCAAGCTGAAAAGATATAACACAAGAGATTTCATAATGAGTACAGATTGTACCAGGCAATAATACAGTATAGTATCAGATAACTTGTATACAATATAGTATGTACGGGACGATCTAACTTGGGCCAGGCTTCCAGGAGAGAATGAAACTAAAATGAGAACAGAGTCCAGGCCTTTCAAAGAGATAGGGTATGAAAGTACTGAACTCTTTCTTAAGTCCTTTAGATTCTAGAGTACAGGTGTAGAGATGTGGTCAAGCAAGTAGCTAGTAGGTATGGGGCTACAGATGTCTTACTAGTGAAGAAAGGGCAAATAATGAGGTAATGATAACATCTAGGAGTTTTTAGCCCCAAATCCTCAGGTATTGGTGGACAGGGAGATGACAGCAAAAGGAGAAGGCCTCACTAGGAAAGGTAAACAAATCACACAGAGTCTTGATAGCTCAAACACAACAAATAGGGGTTACTAAATACAAAGGAAACTAGCTCTAAACACCTGCATCATGTAGCAGTGGATCATGGGACTATGTAGTGTGCCTTTCAAATGCAAAACCCTTATCTATTCAATTAAATAACACTTTCAGTTGTCTTAGATTTTAATCCTTTGTGGAACTGGGATTTTCAAATGCAATCTAAAAACAAGAAAGTATCGTCTGCTTCGCTTGCTTATAATTTCTGGGTCACATGAATTAATATTCAGGACACTGCATTTTTGAAGAGTAAGTGGTATCTCAGTTTTGATACTTGCTGTGACACCATGGTCTTCAGCTCTTTGTTACAGTTTCTCACTCATAAACAGGATGTTGATAACATTGTTAATGTAGTCTAGTCTTGAATTCTCACTGTCTGGGGTACTAGGGAAATTGTCACAATAATATCCATCCAAAGAAGAGGGAGTGGATGTCTTTTGAGGGACTCATGAAAGATGTTGCAGTAAGGCCAACTTTAATTATGAAGGGCACTTGAAGTTCTGGGGCCATACACAAGGCCAGGAGAAAAAAGGGTGGGGGGGCTTCCATTTCAAATTATGACCCTATAAATCATAGTAATAAATAACAACTAGCACTTATTGTACTGAGAACATTCTAGTATGTGCCAGATTGCATTCTAAGTGCTTTATATGGACCATTAATTGAATTCTCACACACACAAAAAAATCCTATGAGAGTAGGTTCACTTTTATCTCCATTTTATAGAAGAGATGAAATGGAGGTACTGAGAAAACAAGTCACTTGCCCAAGATAACACCATGCTATTAAGTAGCTAAATTGGGATGAATTGTAACATTTTTTGGTAATCCTAAAATATCACTGAAATAGCAGATACAAACATGTTAGTTCTTTTTGGTATAAGAAATTAACCAGGAATACAATTTAAGAGGGGAAATTATTAGCACTCTATTATCAATTATACTTCTGAATTCTAGTTCTTACTACTGGGCATATTGGAATTCATTTAAAAGCACTCATTCTTAGATCCTATGTGAGGTGTTTATTACTGGAACAATCAAAAGAATTTGATTATTCTTTCAACTATAAGAGAGTCCCAACTCATGAGCCTCAAGAGTAGCATTCATAAGGCTTCAGAGCCATCACTATATGGCTGCCAATGATTTTGCCAAAACCAGCCTTCTTACGTGTTACCTGCAATATATTTTTATATATTTGATTACTAACATAGGTAAATTTCAGTGATGAATACATTCTATAACATTTCAGCACTACTAAGCTCTTTTACATACATATCTTGCTGAGCTGTGTTAAGTACTGAAATTCACTTAAGGCCTGGTGTACTTAAACAAATATATAACTTGTAAAAACTATATAGGTACTGCCTGGCTGGTGTGGCTCACTGGTTGAGCATCGACCCATGCACCAAGAGGTTGCCAGTTTGATTCCCAGTCAGGGCACATGCCCAGGTTGTGGGCCCAATCCCCAGTGGGGGGCATGCAAGAGGCAGCCAACTGATGTTCTCTCTCATTGATGTTTCTCTCTCTCTCCCTACCTCTCTCTAAAATCAATAAAGAAAAAATATTAACCCCCCCCACAAACTATACAAGTACTTAACATGGTAAAACACACACACACACATACACAGTCTGATTATATACCACTTTTAACATCTTGAAAATAACTGAAAAGAAGGAACAGATTTCCAACATAAGTGTGGTGTAAGACTTTTTAAAAAATAAAGCCAAATAAAGGGGATAGACAATATACAGTAAAACATGAATCACAAATAGTATACAGATACCTATATCTCTAATATTATACATATTTTAGTAAGTATTCAGACATAAATGATAACCCATGATAAAAATAAAGATTAAAAGGCAAAAAAAAAATATTAGTATAAGACCAGAAAGTATTACAAAAATTCTGTTAGACACATTTGAATAAATAAAAATCTAACCTTCAGAGTTACAGTGAATACTAAGACTGTAAAAACAATGGTTCCAAAAGTCCAGTTTCCATACACCTGAAAAAAAAAAAACAAAAAACTACATGTACCAAGAATACAAAAGCCTGCTTAAAAAATAAAAGCCAAGTATAATCTTGTATATAACTGCAAAGAAATTTTGTATGAATTGTTTAGGGAATATCAAGTCAAAAGATCAGGCCAAAATGCTGGATTTAATTGTGACTTGGTCAGGTATACCACACTTGTGGTTGGTAGCATTTATTTCCATTATTCCATACAGTATGAAACAGGAAAAATACTGGTATGATAAAGGCAGAAAAAAAACCCTATTACACTAACAATAATGTTCGTTATTGCATGCCTCATGTCTCTAAAGAGATTGATATGGGCTTTCCCTATAATATAAAACTAAAGCTCTGAAATAAGTACTAATTTGCAGACAAATAGACTCTCATTTTTAAAACAGAGTTCAATTTTTGGCTGTAAATATTAGAGCTGTCAGCATGTGCACATCAAAGAAAAGCAGATATCATATATAACCCAAATGATGGCAATGAATGGCACACATGCTTACCAAATGCTGTCAAATCTGAATGCATAACATTAAAACAGAATAAAAATGTAAAAAGTTTTCAAAATTAAAAACAAAAAATTAAGGTTAATAGAAGCAAAAAAAGAATTCATACATGGGCTTTATGTTTAACTGATGATAGCAGTTATTACACTTACTGTAATTTTAGCAAACATTTAGATGGTGAAATATACAGTAAAATCTAATTAAACTGGACATCATAAACTGAACATGGGTGATGAATTGGACACAGGCTGTGCTGAGGCTCCCCATGCATCATCTGAAGAATTTGCTGAGCAAATGAACCATGTCAGTAGGATTGCAGGAGAGTATCCACCTACTTTGTAGCAAACTTTTTGAAAAGCAATGGTCAGCTCTATATAAATTGTGTCAAATAAAAATAAAATGAAAAGTGAAAGTCACAGAATCAGTCATAAAGCTAAAGACTTGAAAAATTATAAAATCTAATTCCTTCTTCTTACTGATGGACAAAATTCACTTGGAAAGCTGAAGTGACTTGCCCAAGACATAGAGAGATTAAGTAGGGCACACTTCTTGGCAAGTGTTACATGTACCTACTTTGAATTACTAGATGCGTATTTCCTCAAAAGGTACTCAGTGATTAATAATTTTAATGGATTCATACTAAACTGACTTCTGCCAGTCCAAATTAGAGAGGTTTTGACTGTAGTACCTAATTTAAAGTATTATTCAAATCCACTGACCCTATAAATCCCTAATAGATATTGACTATCTAGGGTCTAGACATAGGCATTGTACTCAGTAAATTCTTTTTGAACCTTAGCTTTGCTTCACATTATGAATATAAAGAATGAATAGCAACAAAAGGGGAAAACCAGGAATAGCAAACATAGTGAAAGCAGCATGCAAGCTGGTTAGTCTGATTTTCCACTGTGTGGCTGCAGGAAGACCATTCTCTCCTATAGCACAGTCAGGGCAAAATCATACCAATGCAGGGGCTAACTTATATGCTTGCTGGAAATGCACTGGCGGGACCAGTGCAGCCTTTCTGGAAAACACTATGCTACCATGTGGAAGGGAAGGAGGAAGAGAAGGGAATTCCAAAGATATGGCAGTTACCCTCCTGAACTCCAACCATGGAAGGCCACTATGAATAAGAACTGAGTAGGGCCAGACTTTGCTTTTAAAACAGAAAAGCCTTGCTCACATCAAAGTGTAGTGGTTCAAAGTCTGAAGTCCCAATAACTTTGTTCTTCTAATAAAAACAGCCAAGTTAAATTAAGCTTCCAAAAGGTTTGCACATAAGCTCTCTAGTTAGCCATGCACAAAAGAAGTGATTTTATACTTCAACACTTCTAATGTTCAAAAGAAGTTGTGAGAACTATACTGTACCTTTAAAAAATTGCAAAATGAGCCCTGGCCGGTTTGGCTCAGCGGTTAGAGCGTCGCCCTGCGGTCCTGAGAGACCCGGGTTCGGTTCCCGCTAAGGGCATGTACCTCGGTTGCAGTTTGTCCCCGGCCCTGGTTGGTTGTGCGGGTGGCAGCCACTCGATGTGTCCCTTTCACGTCAATGTTTCTCTCTCTCTCTCTCTGTTCCTCTCTCTCCCCTGCACTCTACCTGAACAAAAAATGGAAAAATGTCCTCGGGTGAGGATAAAAAAAAAAATTGCAAAATGATTACAGCTAGAATATGTATATGATAGATCTAGTGACTATGGAAAAAAGATAAGCCATGTTTCTAATACCAAAAGAGTAATGCTATTTTTTTTTTACCTTTGCAGTTTCTTCTAGGGATAAAGTCTGAAAAAGAAAATAAGTCCCAAAGAAAAATACTATCCCTTCAAATGCAGCCAGAAACGTCCAATATAAGAAGGGGCTCCACTGCAGCATGGCATTGCCAGAAATTTTCCTATTGAGTAATGGGAAAAATACAGGTTAATGAATTTCTGAATTATGTTTATTTAAAAATATGGTGAACTGTCAAAAGCGCACATGGGTTTTGACACTGTTATAATGAAAGGGGCTACCCCTGAAGAGCTGAAAGGCTTTTGGTAAAAGATCAGACTGAACCATGGGTTTATTTTTGTGCAAACATCTCCTGACTGAGGTATTGGAGTAAACTGTGCAAACACTTGTATGTTAAAATTCTGGCCACCTGACAACAATAATATAATCAATAATAATTAGCTCCCATTTATTGAATACTTATATGTCAGAAAATTAGGTTAAGTTGTACACAGACAATTTTTATCCACATAAAAACCACATGTGGTAAGTATTGTTATCACTTCTATCTATAAATAATAAGGAGCCTCAAAAAAGTGTATCATAATGCTTCCCAAACTTTGATGCACATTGGAATCACCTGGGGATCTTTGAAAACAATGATGCCTGGCTCCCAACCTGATTTAATTGGCTAAAGGCTAACCTGGGCATCAGGATATTTTTAAAGCTACCCAGGTGATTCTATCATGCAGTAACATTTGGGAACCACTAGCGTAGCAGCACACCAGAGTTCACTCATTTAGTAAGGGACAGAGCTAATATACAGTCCTAGATTTACTAAAATCAAATGCTTTCAACCAAGACACTTCCACTTTCCCACTAAAATTGTTAAAATATTTCTTTTAATCAAGATTTCTTCCTGGGAGTTTAACCTTTTTTGGTCTTGGGATGCCACCTTTGTACTTTTGCAGTTTAGTCAAATAACATGTTTGAAGCTGTACAGTCTTGCTTTGCCAAATGGAAGATAGCAAATTAAACATTTACAATCTGTCAAAAATAGCACAATATTTTCAGTGCAAGTCAGAATATTAAACAAGGATATCAAAAGTAATAGAGTAGAGCTGCAGAAAGAAGATAGATTTGTGCATAGAATTTCTTTGGACTTATTACTCTATTTCAAATTACTGTTAATATTTATCAAAAGGTATCTAATCACTCAAAAATAACACACCAGTCATCAATAGCACCAAGAATGTCACTGTGCTGATGGAATACAAAACATCTTTGTAATGCAAATACCACTGATCCTCATTCAGCTGGTATTGAATACTTTGGGGTTTCCTGAAAACATAGCAAATATACAACTTTTACTTACTAATACTTCCAGGTACATGCAGGTTCTGAAATTCAGGGGATGCATAAAGCAATGCACTGTTGTTGGACTTAGCAACACTGCAGGAGGAAAGAGGTAGCTGCTTCCCAGAAACAAGCTATCCCCACAGCCAATAAGTCAGATTCCCAAGGCAACTAGGAGCCAGAGGCACCTTCCTAAAGATCCTTGCAAGAACTGTCCAGCAACTGCCAGCCAATAAGGCTTTTGAGAGCCACTGTCATGGGCTGAGGCAGAAAGTGGTTCCTGTGTTTCTACACCTTCTCTGGAGTTACATTACATAATGTGAAAAGATGGACAGGGGTGTTGTGGTATATGTGTGAAGCCTTCTGGCTGTATTCAGATAAATGACAAAGTAATTGGAAACAGAATATGGCAGTCAACATGCAGGAGAACATGAGAGACAATATAGACCTGGGGAGCCATTGACCAGCAGCACATGCCTGAGCATCTCCATCTGATGGGAGGCAACTGCTGTACCAGGACCCTTTTTTGCTTTTAAATCAGTAGAAGAAACAAACCGTGTTTCTTCCCTCTATAAAGAAACTAGTTTACCTTTAACATTTCTCTTAAAAATATAAAAATATCCAATTATGTTTTTCTTGTTTCATGTCAAAATGTGTGGGAAATGCCTAAGTCACTAGGTTCCTGAAGATGTAATCTAAAATATGCTACACCACTGCAGAGAGAGCTACATATGAAGACTAGGGTTTCATATTTACAAAATAATACTTGGATTAATGGAGCAATCTACAGTGACAGGCTGAGAGTAATGTCTCATCAGAACACACAAGAAGGAAAACTGAATTTTGGGCTGGGCAACAGGTATGCCATGGCTTTCATTTCTACATCAGATGTGGCATGTATACTATACCCTCTATGCAAAATTGTTTAATAGTTCATTACCTACACCTGCCGTTCAGTAAGTAAAACTTCATGGAAACCCTTATACTAATTTGTGCTCAACAGTTTTCTTTAGGTTTTCAACATTCTTAATGTATGACAGTGCTCAGAACAGCCCTGAAATTAAGTGTAGGAGGGTGTTAGAATAAGATCAATAACTACCATCTTCTGAAAACTTACTATGTGCCAGGCACTGTTTTAAGTTTTTTTTCTTTATTATTATTTTTTATTATCTTTATGATTGAGGGTGTTACAGATGTCCCCCCACTTTAATCCCCAATTGCCCCCTTCCACCCAGCTCCTGCCCCACCATCCAGTCCTTCACCATCCTACTGTCAGTGTCATGGGCACATATATGCATATAAGTTCTTTGGTTAATCTATTCCCATCCCCCTTTCCTCTGAGATCCATCAGTCTGTTTTAAGTTCTTTTATACATAGTCACTAGTTTAATCCTTATAAAACCACTGTGGATTAGGTGTTATTGTTGCCCAGACTATAATGAAGATGAAATTGAGGCACATTTCAGTTAAGTAACCTGGGAAAAGTCACACAGTTAGTGAGTGGTAAAGCTGGGACTAGAACTCAGGCAATTAACTGGACCTCTTGCTGGGATTAAATGAGAGGGATTATGGTCACTGCTGCCCAAACCCCACTTCAACCAGACCAATGGCACTATTGGCTTCACATTTGTGTTGTCGTAAAACAGAATACACTGTTGGCTCAGTGTTTGAAAACCACCAGCCTGCTGGAAAGAGCACAGTGTTGATCATCAGGAGGACCAAATTCTGATCTTAGTTTGGCCTTTAGTTATACCCTGCGTTCTTAGGCAAGTCTTTTCTGGGTCCTGGTTCCTCATTTTAAAAATGAGAGTATGGGAGATGATGCTCTGTAACATTTCTACAAAAGTTTCTGTGATTCCCCTCTGCAGCAAATCTAACTATCCCTTTGCAGCAAATATGGGGTAAAGAAAAACTATCTAACTATCCCTTTGCAGCAAATATGGGGTAAAGAAAAACATGTTAATCAATGCAATCAGCAAACTCTAGATCAGGGGAAACTAGATAAGATAAATGATCCTGTTTCTGCAACAAATAAGTTGTCAGGTTAACCTACATATTAAAAGAAAATCAAGAGCCTGGGCTGGTTTGGCACAGTGGTTAGAATGTCGGCCCCATGGACAAAAGGGTTTTGAATTCAATTCCTTGGTTCGGGTCCTGTGGGAGGCAACAAATCGATGTGTCTCTCTCATATTGATCTACATTTTGATCTCTCTCTTTATCTCTCTCTCTCTTTCTCCTTCCCGCTACATCTAAAGGAAAAAAATACTTGAGTGGGCATTAACAAAAAAGAGAGAGAGAAAGACTCAAGAAGCAGATTAACCAACTGCAATATATGAACCTTATATCCTGAGTCAAACACGAATGCTATTCAAAGAAATAAATCAGTTGGAGAAATCTGAACAATGACTGAATATTTGATACTATGGACTTGTAAAATTTTAAGGTATAATAAGGAACTATTATTTTCTAAGTCCTTATCTTTAAAAGATATATACTGAGATTTCCAAAATTGCGGTGGAGTGATTGGAAGCTACACAGACCGTCTCTCAGGACCAAACTGGAATTACAACTAAAACACAGACAAATCTATGGGAAAAAGCATCAGAAAAGCAGCTTTCGAGGACCACATAACCAGGGACACTGACCTGATCCTGGTAGGATTGTGAAGACCTGAGATGGGGGCTGGGAGCCCATGGTCAGCAGCTTGGCAGCAACCTTAGCTGTGAGCAGTGCCCTTGGGTTAAACAACCAAGCGGCTCCACAGTGCAGAGCCCGGACAGAGGCGAAAATAGCCACAGCCACTCACCTTGGGCTCTGGCAGAGGGAGGGCAGACTGGACTGGAACTGTGTGGAGACACTAAGGATTTGGAGGGTGCTCAGAGCTTTTGCTGAGTTGCGGCCACAAAGGGCTGTGGCCATATTGCTCCTTCCCAGGGCTCTGGGGTGAGCCAGCAGCCCCTCGCTTGGAGATTGAACTCCACCCTGTGGACCATTGAAATGCAAATTGAGGCTCACTAACAACCAGCATCTGCCCCACCCTGGGGAAATCCCCTTACACAGAGCACCAGAGATAGTTTTTCAATCAACTGACAACACAAAACTCTTCAAGTAACCTCTACTGCTAGCCTCCAGGCAAAAAGCTACAGGATAACAGTACCATTCCTGGGCTAGCAACTCTAACCAGAAAAGTAAGATTGACAGTGGTGTTTAACGTGGATCCACCCTCGATCATCTAAACCCAGGAGAGGGAGCCACAAACAGCAGAACACCAACACCCACAGGAAAACTTGACAGGCTCCAAAGCCCACAGTGATAGCCAAAATGGTGAAACACAGAAATAAAAGCCAAATGAAAGAACAAGAGACCTCCACAGAAGATGATATCAATGTGGAGCAGTTAGGCATGTTAACAGAGCTAGAATTCAGAGCCATGATCTTGAGGAATCTCAACAGCATGAGTAAGGACATAGAGAAGCTGAAAATAAAACAATTGGATATTAAAAACCACCAGGAAAAGAGAATCCTAAAAGCAGCAAGAGATAGGCAACAGGTTACCTACAAAGGAAACCCCATGAGGCTCTCAGTTGACTTCTCACAAGAAACACTACAGGCCAGAAGGGAATGGCATAAAGTAATCAAGGTCATGAAAAACAAGGATCTGAATCCAAGACTACTCTACCCAGCAAGACTATCATTCAAAATGGAAGGTCAAATAAAGAGCTTCCCAGACAAAAAAAGGGTAAGGGAATACATTAGCCCCAAACCAGCACTGCAAGAAATGTTAAAAGTACTGCTGTAATTAGTAGAAGAAATAGAAAGAAAAATACAAC